GGGCAATACTGGAAATCTGGTCCGGTTCAAGGGTTCAATTAATCCTACACTGCATGTGCCTTGGGTCTCACCCTGGCGGCTGAGACAAGCCACCCCAACAGTTGGCAGCACACCAGTGTCAGCCTTGGCAGGATAAATCTCCCTAGACTTATCCAACGGCTGTGAACGTTTAAAACCAACACAAGTCTCATTAAGTGTCCAGTTTTAGGGTCTTACACAGAAGTATATCACACAACATGAATCAAACTTGTACTTATTTATTTACATTAAATATCAAAAGTATATCAAAACTGATTGAAGTTAAGGGCATACAAAAACTGACCAACAATTTCTTCTCCTACAATAGTATATAATTATAACTGTGTTCAAGATCCAACAGTTTATTTTATTGAAGTACACAGGAAGAATAAGCTTTTTCATCTTCTTTTCCTACTTCCCTGAGTGTTTCGAAACACTGGAAAGAACAAGAAAAATTGAAAATAGAAAAAAAAAAGAAGAGAAATAAAGGCAAAGGAGCAAATCCAGATTCAATGACAAAGCAATGGAAGAGTAGTCCGGATCAGATAGGCATAAAATTGTAAACACATTCAATGAGCATTTAAATTTTTTTTTGACACCTGTCCCTTAAAATACCCCCAGCTTAAAAACAATCTTTGAGTTTTGACAATTGTCAAAATATTTTTTTAAGTGCTCATTTAAGTATTTAAGTATGCCTACTAGATCCGGTCCCGTAGTGAATTTGGTGACCAAGCGCAAACCACGCTGATCTTAACTGAAATCGGACCAAGCGCAAACCATGCAAACTAGTGCGGTCCGGTCATCAACAGTAGTTGGTTGATGTGATGAGAGAAAGGAGGAAGGGAGAGAAAACAAAGAGACAGTACCTTATTTTTTGTTCACACGCCGATGCTGAATTTACATTGGCACCCCTATAGGGTTCTTGCCAGCACCTTGGATCTCCTACCAACAAAACACATTCCAACACCACACATACAGCCATCCACCATGCATGAGATGTATGGCAGGTAATCTGGACTTGTTTGAGAGAACTTTCTCGGTGCTGGCATGCACCAGGGAACGCGCCCCACATTAAACAGGGAAAGCAATACAATATGCACAAGCACAAATATACATAATATTAAAGCGATTTGCAACTCAAAATTACGGAGAATGATAGGGGACTGGACTGGCTCTTCAAATTTGGCGACAGCAAGAAAACATGGTGGAGTGCACATTCAAAGTGGCAAACAACTGCCAAGAGAGCAACGACTAGAAGCTATGGGCAATATGTGGCAACTGGCAACAGAGCACTGAAATAAGGGTGCTCATGAAAACCCAAAATACTGATCGAAACTGAGAAATCAAACCGAAAAATACGGTCAACTGAACCAACCTATAGATATACACTTATGACTTGTGTATGCCGTCGGATACTTCAAATTTGCAAATTTCGTATCTGACATCGCATCCAGCAACATCCAACGGTTCCAACAATCCAGAAAACATAGAAGGCCAATATAATAAAAAAAAAATTGGGATTATAATTATAGAGACAATTTTAAATTATTAGTATCGTGTGTCTATCTGTAATTCATTTTGAGATACACAATCTACTATTTGAGTATTCCCAAAAAAGACATTCAAACCCAAGCATAAAGCACTTCAACATCAACAGCAATTTTTCAACTTTGCTTTATCAGTTATGCTGCAGATTAGACAGAGATCCGAGAACAATGCATGAAGTGGTGGAAGTTTTCCCTCAATCTTTGGTAGGTAGCCATTATCTATTGCATTCTCAGAGTTGCAACTGAGAACATATTTTCACGTTGTCACCCGTATAGGACCCACATGACCTCATTGATTTATTCCATAGAAGCAGATCAACGAATGCCCTTCTTCAAAATCCAACGATGGGTAGCAACTTGTCTCCGCCATTCATTGATAGGCACCTGCAAGGGCACCCAAAAGCCAGATTCTTGTAACAGTAAGCTCTCTAAGCATCTAAAGATAAATAAAACATAAAGATTATCAAACAATCCTTACAGCAGGAAAACCACCATACTCTCCTGGTTCCGTAATGTCTTTGGTAACACAGCTATTAGCTGCAAGACGAACCTGTAATCCAATGAATCAGATGAACTTATTATTGGAAGGGACATCCAAGTTGACAATGCAGACTCAGAAATAACTAAGCACCTTGAATATTAACTACTTAAAACCCAATGATTGGAATCTGTAGTATCACTGACATGTGTAAGGGGCAGTGCATGACCATTCCATCAACTTACCCGAATGTAGACAAGGATATTATCAGCACTTGATGGTGCACATCTAAGAGCTTACTTAAAGGTGAAGACTTAATGGTATTACTGTTTTAGACTTTTATGTCATTCTTATATCCTTTACCATACACCAAAAGAGAGATGGATCCAGTGGTGGTTTATCTTTCTTCTGAAAGATGCATTTCAGCCAGGGTACAAGTATACAGAAAGGGGCAAAATAGGAAAAAAATGAAAACGCCAGAAAAGGTTATCCACATGATCAACTCCATACATGTGTCCCACCAAAGAACTTTAGAACACTATCTAAAATGAATATCATAGTTTCCTCCACATTTCAGTGATATAGGCTTATAAACCTGGCTAACAAGTGATCCATCCAAAAAAGGTTTTAAGTCAAAATGATATAAAAATGTAGCATTAGGTGTTACACTTGATATTCACTGATTTAGTTTTTTTGCTTACAAGCGGCTGTTTTAGCCATTTGATTGTATTATTGCAAACAGCTTTTGCCAACAGCGCAAGGCCATGAACCAGATTAAAACCAAAATAACCTGAAAAGGATTACTGCGCAGCCAGCTCATCACTTTTTACTTGTGATACTAAATGCACCACCAGTAACTTGTCACTCTATTATTATTATTGTTATTATTATTTTTTATGAATGACTTGTCACTCTCTTGGAAGGGTATGTTTTCTTTAAACCAAGCTACAAGAATAAGGACAGCTTTTATTCCATGTTTAATATCTTTTTTTTTTATTGTTCTATGCCATTAATATATTGATCTGGTAGCAAAGCCAATACCTTCGATGTAATGGAGACGTGATCTCGTACTGCTACCTTTCCCCCCAAAGTGACATAGTCTCCCATCCTAGAAACCAATAACAGTAAATGAAGATGTTGAATTCCAACAGAATCTCATGCACTTCACCAAATTCTTAACTTTACGTGAACCATATGATTGGTATATTGAATCTTTCAAATGCAGGCATGCTTAGAAGTTACATACGTCACTGAACCTGCAATACCAACTTGTCCACAAAGCATGCAGCACTTTCCAATCACTACATTGTGGCCTACCTGCATTTTAAAGCACGATAGCATTTAATAATCCCAAGCCAAACTAAAAAATGGTTCAATGTGGAAGCAACCAACCTGAACTAAATTGTCAATCTTAGAATGGTCTCCTATAACTGTATCCCTCCAACTGCATAACCAGCATGAGTTACAGAACCAAATGTAAAAAAACCCTCAGTTTCCAAATGGTATTGGGAAAAGAGGCATCAGATAGCTTCCAAATTTATTGGAACATTTAAAAAAATAAGCATATAACCTGCCCCTATCAATGCATGTATTAGCTCCTATTTCCACGTGGTTCCCTATCCTTGCAGAAAGCAGCTGTAACATGAGAGTATTACTAATCCAGATTTGAATTTGATATCTGAGGCCACAACTCTGTTAGATTAAAGAGTATTGGAATGGAAAGTCTAAATTCAAGCATGAAATGATCACAAATTTATTCTTGGTAACAGGTGGAGAATATTAACTATTTAAGGAAACCTTATGTATGCTAAACAGTGATTTAAATAATGTGTAAAAACAATGTGGCAAATAGACCAGATGATGTGCTATTGGTAAATCATCTTTTTCTTTGTTATTATAACAAAATTAGCAGAACTCCACCTGGAACAAACTTAGGGATTTAAGAGAAAATATGACAAAAATACTGCTTTATGTTGACAGGAAGAATCCATAAGAATTACTTGCAAGTTATGTAAGGCTCTTCTAACTGAAGACAAATACAATCACAAAACCCCTAGATTCCAGACCTAAGCATGGTGCAATCTTGTTTCAACAATTTTAAAACTACAGGATACAGAATGCATCCTTGCATGCAAAACAAAAAATTTTGTCCACTCTATAATTTAGTGGATTTTTAAGGAATTATTTATGCTACACTACAATGACCCATCATTTAATACAGCCCACCAAAATCAGAGGATCACTTTAAGACAGAAGTCAACTGGATATGATCACCCAACCACCTAATCCAACACATCTTTTTGTATGAAGAGAAACACTTTTGCAGTAGGATCTTTAGAAACATCCACCAAATTGGTTCTTTTACCTAAGAGATCCAAATGCCAATAGCTAATGGGCTAGAGGATGCAACATCAAGTATGTTCTGATGTTTTCTATCCATGAAGCACATACATGAAGAACCAATTCTTCCTTGCTTCTTGTCACCTGACTCTTTTTACTCTTTGTCAAATAAATATTATGTATTAATTCATCAAAAAATAAATAAATATTATGTATTAAAAGCAGAACGTGTACTTAATTACAAAAAAAAAAAGAAGGAATAAAGGTAGAGCATTTATTTGTAAACGTTTTACCATTCCTCTTGTAACTTTAGTTCTCCACAAAAAAGTGAAGAACTAATATCGTTACAACTATTGTTACTGTCATAAATTGAGCTAGTAGAAAGAAAAGGCACAAAAGTAACTACCTTAAAAAGCTTAGGAGACTGACAAAACAAACTACACAAAGAAAGCAACTGGTTTAGTGCAAGCTGTTTAATTAATTGGCTGAGCATAGGCTCATGTTTTCTTTTCACTTTTTTAAAGTAGTAGCTTTGTATTGGGCCTAAGCCCATTTGCTTGTTTATTTCTAGCGGATTCCCCAAGTCCCAACTATATTAAGCAAAAAGACACCAACAGAGTCCCAAGCGCCAGCCCCAATCTATCTCTTTAACCCTTAACCTGAATCATGAAAAATTTCTCTAATTGGTTTAGATCTTGGGCAGAATCTCTAGGAAAAAAAACTTCCGGGCTTCAAAATTCCAATCAGAAAATGATCAGCAACTCATCTCCCCATACACCTTGCTGATCCTAGAGTGTACAGTGTAAGGAAAGAAGAAAAAAGGGAAGAACCTGCTCTGATACCAAGTTGTAAATCAGAACAGTAATAAGCTGGTTGTTTAATTAAGAAAAACAAGCATAAACCCAGAGAAGAAAGTTCAGGTCAATAGAGAAGAGAGAATGGAAGAAGAAAGGGTTTTAGGGAAAAGAGTCTCAAACAAGCCTCCCAGCCCCCAAATCGTTTTTTTTTATGTAATTACAATTAAGGGTATCTATATTAGAAAAAGGAAAGAGGGGAGGTGAGGGATGCTTTCACCACAAAGCTCACACAGACCTCCTCCTCATTTCTCACACGTGGTTAGTTATTTTTAAATTAGATTATCAAAAATATAAGAAGTCAAAATTAAAACCGTCTCAGGTCTTAATTGTCTCCAATAAAATCCATCATTACTCAAACAAAAGCCCTCTCAGATCTTAATTGTTTCTAATAAAATCCATTATTACTCAAATAAAAACCCTCTTAGGTCTAAATTGTTTCTAATAAAATCCATTATCCTCTCTCCAATAAGATCATTCTCCCCCCCCCCCCATTAAATCCCTAATGTCCTCTTAAATTTCTTTGACTCTTAACCCTTTTTGGATATCTCTAATAAAGGGTATATAAAACTGATGATTGGGTTAGGTTAAGGGTCAAACCAAGATCAACCCTAAAATGGACCTTAGCTAGGACCCAAATTTGCCAACCCAAATAGGGGTGCAACTTGGGTTTGGTTGGGTTAGGAGTTCGATAAATTTTCAATGGGCCTGAACCCCAACACATGCCTGATGTAGTTGAAGTTCTTCAAATTTGGCAACCCAACTTGTAACCCTAAATTAGGGGTTATCATGGGTCGGGCCAGGATGGGCTTTGCACTTGATAAGGGCTAATAGCTTGGATCCAGGCCCAGCCCAGCTTGACTCCAGGCCTATAGCTTTCATGTGTAAAATATTAAATGTATAATATTTTATATTATATGTCATATAATGTGTATAAAATGTATTTTATACACTATATAATACAAGATATTATATATAATATGTATTAAAGGTGTCATATTATAACATTTATATATAAAATATAACATATACATAAATATGTTGGGCTGGGCTGGGCCTGATGCGGGCCTGGCTGAAAATGATTTTTTTTTTTTGAGAAAAAGTAAGGTAATTGTATTAATGAGTATAACTGTAAACAATCATAGATCACAAAAGCTCCATGTACAGCCAGAAACTATACAGAAAAGCCAACAAAAAACTGGTCTCTCCAGAATAAATTCAAGAGACCCCCAACTAAATCAAGTAAACAAAAAACCCAGCTCAAAATACTGATGATGGGGGAAATGCTTAAAAGAGTCCTTGGCTGACAGCCAGGAATTATAGTAGTCATTGCCCGAACCACCAACTCATCTAAGGAGCACCTTTGACCTTCAAAAATCCTACTGTTTCTTTCTTTCCACAGGACCCAACACACCACAGCACCTTGCCCCTATTGCTTAAGCCCGCCAACTTCCAAGAGAAAAGCAAGTCAGCTAGAGATTTGGGAAAGCACCACCTGACATTTAACAGGATTCAGAAATGGCTGAACAGCAAATGCGCAGCCTTACAATGAATAAATAAGTGACCCACAGATTCATCTTCCTCACTACACATCACACATCTTATGGAGGGCAGCACCATACCCCTCCTGATTAACTGCTCCTTAGAAAGACATTTACCATGAACTGCTTACCAGATCAAGAAGGAGACTTTAGTGGGAATGTGAGGGAGCCAAATCTCTTTCCATGGAAAAGCCTGAGCCGAACCAGCTCTCATCTTCAAATAAAAGGACTTCACCGAGAAACTCCCATCCCTAGCCCATTTCCACATTCTGGAATCTTGCTGATTTGGATTCAGTTGATAATCCTGAATTAATTGGAGCAGCTCTAGCAGATCAGAACTTCCCAATCATTGAGATTCCTCCTAAACTTTGGACACCAGTGTCCTGAATTTCCACGCCACTCAAACTGATCTGCCACCATCACATCCCTGTCTTCTGCTATAAGGAATAGTGAAGGGAAAGTCTCCATTAGAGAAGAACTGTTACACCAAGTGTCTTGCCAGAACCTAATCCTAAATCCAAACCTAACCTAAATCCAAACCCCATGCATTGCATGGGTTTACTTGCTAGTAATTAGAAGAAAGCCTTTAGTTGGGTGGCTGCTAAAAATAAACGAACAAATGGGCTTGGGCCCACTACAACTAAAGCTATTACTTTAAAAAATAAAACGAGAACATGAGCCTAGTGCCTAGACCTGGCCCATCACTTCAACACAACCATGTTAAGATTTAACTTATTCCATTTCAGCCCTAGGGCATGGTTGTGGAACATGAAAAGGCTGTGCAGTTAAGTATACGGAATCCCATTATGTTAAACATAACCATCAAGAAGGTATAATAATGACACTGACCAGGTATATTTCTCATGTTAACCACCCAATGATCTTGCTGATTTTTTTTTTATTACCAAAAAAAATGATCTCGTTAATTTCCCATAATTATGTGTTCTTTGTATTATTAGGTTCTAATATAATAATAGAATACAAAATAGAAAAGGATCCTCATGTTAATCATCCAAAGCATGTGTACTTCTATCCTATTTTAAGGAGAGGAGTGAACCTATTGTTGATTTTCCATAATTAAATGCTCTTTTTACAAATAGGTATTGATCTGGTGATAGAATAAAAAATATGAATGCTAACAAGCGACAGGTTTATTTGGATGAGAAGGCTACTCGTTGGGACTAGAGAGATTTGACGTGGAAGGGGATTCCTTAGAAGTGATTGACTAGATAAGACATCTTTGTCTCTGATGGATTTATGGATATTTAGACACTACATAGGGTAAGCATGATCACTAGCAGCCAGGATAAATAGCTCATTCAGATAGGCTAGATAGTAAGCCAACATCTTAGCAGATACTCTAGCTAGAAGAGGAGTAGAGAGGGAAGGTTAATATCAAGGAATGTGTAATTCTAAGGTGACTTGGTCTCTTTCTTGTATGCCTTTTAGTAGTATGTGATGGTCAGCCATGTTGGCTCTTGGGTATTTTTCCTATTGATAAGGAAAAAGAGTTGAAGACTATACCATTAATAAATACTTCTAATCAGTGAACAAAAAATGCAATAGGTTAGTTAAAAGTACCACATTCAAGCCGTTTCCACACTAAGAATTTGGGAAAAAATTGTTAATCAGCTTGGGGAGAATAAAATTGCAAAGTTGGCCTTGCATTGGTCAGAATCCCCTGGGTCATTTTGTATTAACACATACGAATCTAATTATGTTTAAACCACCTACAATCATGTCCTTTGATTTCAAGAAGTTTCCAAGAAATAACTTTCCCATATAATTTAGTGGTTCTTAAAAATACAAAAACCTCCTATCAACAAGCATGACTCTCTGCTTTATTTAATGGTAAAATAAACAATAACAAAAATAAGAGTTAACAAAAACTGAATTATATGCAAGAAATCATCAGAACAACACCAACTTGAGGCTTCTTCAACATGTTTCCTTGTTCATCAACATAAAACCCAAAACCTGACAAAAGAAGAATCCTAAGTACTTAGAATGACAGTATAAGGACAATATTCTTTTTTTCTCATTTTTTAATGAATAACAAGATTGATTAGAAAACTAACAACACTAATCATTCCAAGATAGACAGCCTACCATCTTGACCAATGCATGTTCCAAAATGGATAATGCATGACTCGCCTACAGAACAATTGCCAAGTGCAACATTATACCTGGAAAAGTTTGGCAATACCATCAGACAAAGAAAGAACAATAAATGATGATAAATTTCCTGCATTAAGCATGAAGACAAAAACACCATTCATGATAGCATGATATGTCAAGAAACCTTATGGTCATTTTCAGAATTATTAAGGCAACTTAATAAGCAAGACTTTTATGAATTGGGGTTCAAATAACGGCCTGACTCCACTTTGTATTGTCATATCCTGGCTGACACCATGTCTAACCTTTAACCACTAATAACATATCTCAGCACGGCATAATGCTCTCAGAAAGAGATAAGGAAATTGCAAGTGGATTATGGCATTCTGGACTTGAGAATCCACCCCCCACCTCACCCCCCCCCCCCTTTTCATATGGTCCTGAATGGATGAATTGGCAAATATGTATGAGAATTCTTGTGCATCCTCCAAGTAATAATACCTACCTAAATGGAAGGTATTATTTGTAACCATGGATATTAGTAGAACAGTTATTATATGTCATTTTGGAAGAATTGTTTATTGTAAAGAGGGATGGCATGGAAAAGGTATTAATAAACTCGCACCTGTGCTAGGTACAAATGAAACAAAGCATGTTTTTAACAGAAAAGGTCTTTTTACACAACTATATGCATTTCAAGAAAAAAAAAACTAAAGGAATAAATAAGACAAATAAATAATACCAACAGAATTCAACAAAGATAAGTACTATATTTAATATTGTTTAACATTGTGTTCCTAGAAATTAGCTTCGGAAAAGCTTCAAACAATAAATTCCATTTACTGGATCAAAACTAACAATTTGTGTTTGTTCTGCTCAAGCACATATCATTGACCCAACTCCAATTAAAAGGTGATCATTGTCAAATGTTACAAAGAGACAGTTGTACAAGTACAAGATTTGCCAAGTTTATCTGTTTTAAGGCTGAAGCATGGGATAGAGTGCAATTTTGGGAGGCTGATCGACTGAGTGGAATAATGAGATTTTGCAGTCTATTTTCCTAACTATACCATAGAAGAAAGAGAGGATGAAGTAATAAATCTATGAGGAGGCAATCGAAGCGCTGTGAAGTTCTAGATTCAGGTGTGCAGTTAATGGCTGGGACCAATCCAGATCCAAGCAAAGTTGAATCAAGTTCTTGTAAACACTTATTGTAGGACAGAATCATATGGTAGGGACTGATTTTTGCCTCAATATTTTTCATGTGTTCCATGGGGGTTGACGAGGGAACCTTCTTGAAAGCTCTATATAGAGATGACAAATCTCCTCTAAAGGCAGACATTATAAATTGACAATAATGAAATGGTTAAACATTTCATTTTAAAGAATATATACCTGGGCAAGGTTCTTGTAGTTGATCACCCAAATCGTAAGGGCATGTACATATGTGTGTTTCTGTGTGTGGATGGCATGAATGTAATGTATGCTTTTATGTTCCCCATGTATATGTGGCTACATATTTATATATGTAGACAGTGTTGAGATTAAATTATTGACTACAAATTCATCACCTGCACCTAATTAGGATCAAGGTAGCTTAAAAGTGATGCATGTTAGTCTCTATCTTCAGTGAGGCAATAATTTATATTGCATAATCTTAGTGAGAAAGAAAGAAGTCAAACAAGCAATTCCTTGAAATTATTTGTGAAACTGAGTTAGAAATTAGTACCATTTAAGGCATTACTATAAAGGTAAGGGGCAGCAATTGGACCTCCAAAAGAATGCTGTCAAGTTTCAATTCAACAAAGCTTTATCCATATATTTGGGCTGGATAAATGAATCGGGAAAAGGAAATAAAGATATCAACTGAACAAAAGATTATTCACCTATTTGGGGTTGGCTAAATGAATCAAGAAAATAAAATATAGTATCAACTCAATAAAGCCTTATCCATTGATTTTCCATTTGCATCCACTCTATCAAGGAGTATTTCCTGTGTTAAACTGTGAATAATCATGTTTCTTTTTTCTATTTCGAATATATCATTTTTAGGCTCATTCAGATTACATGCAATTTCGAGATTTTAACTTTACAGCAAAATACAGCCATGCATGTAGTATATTCCTTGGTTGCAATAATGCAGGCTCTAGATGAACTTAAACCTAAACCCTGTGTACAGGAAGGAACATCAAAAGCATCCATTGGCATTCTGAACTTGTGTTTTGGTTCTATGCTAAAGGTGTAAGAACCATACACACAATCACAAAGATCAAGATGGTTGCAGCATAAAGAAGGAATAATACCCTATTTTTGTCGAACCCCCAATTACAACAGCAGGCCCTATAACAGCTCCTGGTCCAATATGGACATGAGGACCAAGTACAGATTTTGGATTAACTACTGCACCAATTTCTATGATTGCAGTCGGATCAACCTGTGCTGATTTGTGGACAAAACCACCCCCATTGCGCCACTTATGAAAGTCTGTATAATCTGTGCCACAATCATCTTCTGATCTCGAAATTTGGAGCATTTGCAAGTGAACGTTAGTTATAAAAAGAAAGACAATGGAAGCCAATACTGAAGTAATTTAGGAACTGAAATCCAAAATACATTAGTAAGAATAACAAATTCAACTAAGACTCCTCCCTTATAAATATCACATATATAACCAGTAATCACTACTGAACCAGAAACGACCAAGTAAATTTTTATCCCGATTTTGAAATCTAATCTGATAGAAAAAGAATACATAGCATCCACTCTCCATCGAGCTTCTTGCTGCACAATGATAAGCTTCAATGTGAATTTTTAGTTTTTTGCCGATGAAGGAATTATGCAACTGAATGGGAGGAAAGAAGGTCTAACTGTGCATAAATTCCATAAATGCACCAAAACAGGGGGAAAAAAAGAATCCATATCGCCTTTAATGGCATTTTCCATCAATTAACGGAGTTATATAGAGGTTGTTGCAAACTTACCTGAATTGATTGTGACACTTCTTGACACATTTTGATCGGAGGAAAATTTAGATACGTGCTGACGTAGGCGAGGTCCCCACGTCCATCCAATCTTCTTAGACGCATTGCCACATCCTACGCTAGAACTAGAATAGCAGAGAACTGCCAGTTTTCTCATCCTAACTGCCATTATTGCCAATATGTAACTGGGATGGAATTCAAATTCCAAAGTATTGTTCGAAGTATGTACCACGAAGTTGGAAGGGGCTTCTTACTTTTATCAGTTAGGGTTTCCACCACCGCCAAAGGTGGAAAATCTAGTCATGGAGTAGCCGAGTAGGGTCAACTTTCTCTCGACGAGCTGCCAGGTACATCGGAATTCTAAGTTGAGACAGGCGGAGTGCATAGGAATTCACTGTGGGCCCATCTATACTGCACACTGGCGTGTCCACTCGTGATAGGTAACCCAGCCCCGTGTGCACCATCTTCTCCAGCTAATTCGGGGCTCGTATGTCGTTGCTGAAAATGGTTTCCATTTTCCCAATTTCTTGTGGTTAATCATTTGTCCTCAAATTCCTTTGCCTGTACTTTATACTTTATGTAACATGCGGGAGAAAACTTCCTTTCTTAGAATAAACAAGAATGGTGACAAGGGATCCCCTTATCTTAAACCCTAAGCCCCTCTTCATTAATTTTCATTGCAAATGAATGGCAGGCTATACATTGTTTTACTAAATTCCTCCACTTTTGAGGAAAATCCATTTTGCAAATAACCTCATGTACTTTCGGTCTACGCGGTCATACGCTTTAGATATATCCAATTTGAGGGCAACATGACCAGATCCCTTCTTCTACTAAATTGATCCAGAACTACATTGCCCATGATTTATTGACCCTTCACAAACCCGGCCTAATTTGGTGAGATCAAATATGGGAGCACAGGTTGCAATTTGTTCACCATCCATTTGCTAGTACTTTGTAACTAACATTACAAGGGTTAATGGGCTTGTATTGATTGGGAGTATCTGAGGTTTTCTCTTTTGGTATAAATACAATACTAGTGAATGACCCTATACTAAGTACGGGGAAGTTAATTATATATATATATATATATATATATGAATAAACATTAATGATTTTTATTACCATTTTTTAAGACATTCATACAGTCTACGGATCATTAAATTCAACTTGAACTATTTATTACTTTAATTTAACCATTATTATTATTATTATTAATATTATTATTATTATTACTATTAATTTATTTTAGTATTTAATTTAAATTTTTTGTTATATAGCAATAATATTAACTAAATTTGTAATTATTTAAATATTTACTTGAAATAATTTTTTCCAACTGAGTATAATTATTATATAATAGATTTGTTAATTCATAATTTGCATTTAAGAATAAACATTAATGATTTGGCTTAACAATTTTAATGACTGTTAATAAATATTAATTCTTTATTAAGGTTTAATTACTGTATTCGATAATTATTATGGGGAATGCTTTGAATAAATATTAATGATAACTTATGATTGTTATTTCGTTTTTTATTATTTACTTAATTAAGTACTTGATGATTGTTATTATTATTAATTCAGAAATTTTCATCAAATAATTATTTGATTTAATTTGATTTTTTTTCATTTTGTTAATTATTTATAATAGACATTTAGGGTATGCTCTTTATTTGATTTAAGAGACTTACCATGTTTTATCTAGACAATGACCCCATACTAAGTAAGGGGCAACTACAGTATCATTTTATTTGAAATTTACTATTTAACAATAAAAAATCAATGTCCTGTTGAGCAACTCACCCCTAAAAAAGTATCAAGAATTTTGAAATTATTAATCTATTTATAAAATAGTAAAATTAGATTGATGTTTACAACAATATCACCAATACTGCTTAAGAGATGGTTGTTTACCCACTCAAAGAGGCAAAGAAGGAAGAAAATCATTCAAAGAGCTGCTAAGAAAAACAATCAATGCCAAACAATATTTGCAGATGCATCAATCCTCTGAAGTAAGAGATAAAAAATATATGATTACAATCAAATCATCATCATATATCGCTACAATCAACTAATAATATAATCAGGACTCCAAAGCCCATCCAACAGAGGAAACATGAAAGAAAGGGGAATAATGGGCCCATCCTGAGTATGGAAGTCACCTCCAAGTTAGGTGGCAACACTTCTTTTGGTTGATCATGGTTATGGATTTTAAGTCTAATCTCCCCACAATGCACGTAGGCTGGTTAGAATTTATCTTTAGGAAAAAGGTAGGGAAACCTGTACATAACCTAATGGTATGTTTGAATTATAGGAATTGGGAGATAGAAATAAGAAATGTAGGTTGAAATTATAATTTTGGGCATGTTGATGTGTCAAATTCAAGTCAATTAGAATATTCATAGATTTTTAGTTCATTCATTTAGTGGTAATTTGAATATTTTTTATTCCATGTCTTTATTGAGTAATATAGATTAATAATATATTAATAATTATGAAATCAGTTATAATAATAAGTATGTATTGATTTTGAAATCACTAATATTATTACTTTATTGAGTAATATATTATTATTACTATTATTTACTAATAATATATTCTTATTATGTATGTATTGATTTTGAAATCACTATATTAAATTATTATTATTATCATCATCATCATCATCACCATTATTATTATTATTATTATTATTATTATTATTATTATTATTATTATTATTATTATTATTATTATTTTATGAAGTAATATATTTGTTATAATTACGGTTTTTTGTTAATTCCTGAAATAATAATTGCTTTTATAATTCTTTTAGTTTAACAATAATGAATAACTGAAAGTTTATAATTTAGCTTTCACTAAATGAAATATTTATTGGAGAATAATAATAGTATTAATTATAATTACTTATAATAATAATAATTTAAATAAGTAACACTAATTATATATTTATAAAATAATTAATATGAACTAATATAAATATAAAATGATTATATCCCAATTAATAATTAACATTATTAAAATACTTATTAACTATCATTAATTAATTAAAATTCCGAAGTAATAATTATCATTGTTATAATTAAGGAATTAATTATCAGTAAGTAATTATAATCAGTAATTAATTTTTATCAAAAATAATTATTATTAGTAATAATTAATTATAATTATTGATAATAATAATATAATCATATTAATTATAAATAATGATAATAATAATAATAATATAATTAATTATTTCATATAAATGTATGAATTATAATTTTTGATAATAATTCTAATATAAATAATTAACATTAAATATTTATTTTCAAAATAATTAATATGATTTAATATAAATATAAAATGATTATTTCTGAATTATTAGTTACCATTATGAAAATCGTTATTAATTATCATTTTGAATTAATAATGAGAAATATTATCAATAATTAAGTATTAGCAGTAATTATTATAAGAAATTATTATCAGTAATTAATTATTATTAGTGAGTTATTATTATTAGTAATTAATAGCTCAAATTAATTAATTAGAAGTCATTAATTATTATTAGTATCCCCTTTCTTTCAAAAAGTTGACTCATCATCATCGTCATCATCAATGACAACAACTTGATAAATATATAGTTTGATAAAAATAGGTAAATATCATTAATTTATTTTTATTTTATCTTTTTATTTTATCATAAAAATAGGTAAATATATAATTTGAACATAAAAAACCAATTATTCAAAAATAAGGTTGTTAATCAAAGAGTAATTAAAATTATTCATTAAATAATAATTTTAAGAAATGAAAAATAATAATTAATTATCTATCTGAATTAAAATGGGTAATTTCAGCAAATAATTTAAAATAAATAAATTTTTCTATTAACATTTTTTAATAATAATCAGTATTATTAATATATTATATAATATATTAATTATTATGGAATCAGTAATAATAATAAGTATATTATTATTATTAACTAATAATATATTCTTATTATGTCTGTAAAGATTTTTAAATCAGTAATATTAAAGTATTATTATTTTATTTTTATTTTTATTAAGTAATTAATTTGTTATAATTAAGATTTTTAGTTAATTCATAAAATAATATTTGCTTTTATAATTCTTTAAGTTTAACAATATTGAACAATTGAAAGTTTTATAATTTAAYTTTCACTAAATGAAGTATTTATTGGAGAATAATAATAGTATTAATTATAAATAAGTAACACTAATTATATATTTATAAAATAATTAATATGAATTTAATATTAATATAAAATGATTATATCCCAATTAATAATTAACATTATTAAAATACTTATTAATTGTCATTAATTAATTAAAATTCCAAAGTAATAATCATCATCATTAGTATTAGTAATAATTAAATATTTACATTAAATATTTTTTTCAAAATAATTAATATTAGTTAATCTAAATATAAAATGATTATTTCTGAACTATTAATTTCCATTATGAAATTATTTATTAATTATCATTTCGAATTAATAATGGGCAATATTGTCAGTAATCAGTAATTAAGTATTAGCAGTAATTATTATAAGAAATTATTTTTCCAAATTAATAATGAGCAATATTATCACTAATTAATTATTATCAGAAATTAAGTAATAGTAGTAATTATTATAAGAACTTATTTTCAGTAATTAATTATTATCAGTGAGTAATTCTTATTAGTAATTAATAACTGAAATTAATTAATTAGAAGTAGTTAACAATAATTATTATTAGTAATTAATTATTGTACTTGATTAATTAGAAGTAGATTACCATTAGTAATCAATAATTGGAATTAATTAACTAGTTTAGTAGTTAACAATAATTAATAGCATAGTTTCCTTTTTTTTAGGAAAGGATTGAAAGTGGGAGCTTCCCACTTCTCACAACTCTGCATAGTGGTGGACTCACTCTATATGTTAGTAGGCTCTTTTCTTGAACTACCACTAATTATAATTTGACACACGTCTAGTGGACTCTGTTCTTGAACTACCACTAATTAGAATTTGACATGTGTTCATTTTGTTTAAATCTTTGGAATGACAGGTGTCTGAATAGAGGAGAGCCACATGTCTAACTGGGGGGACTCCAGATCTCCTGCCCACGAGAACCCTGCCCACGCCTACTCATAATACACCACCCCCCGTGAATTGGGAACATCTCCCCCTTCATAATACTATGCAGAGGATGAGATGTTCTCCATGTGTGACTGCGATAAACGTGGGCAGGAGATCCAGGCTTGACTAGAGGAGACTTTGGCATGAAATCATTCCTTCAATATATATATATATATATATATATATATATATATATATATTTGTACAATTTATCTGCTTAGAAAGGATTTTGTGTGAAAGAAATTCAACACCATTGCAACCATATATTATCCAATTTGATCCCTAAATAGAAAAAAAGTCATGAAGCCATTTGGGCCTGGGGTTTCATGTGGATTCATGCTAAAGATTATATCTTTGATCTCTTTCTCCATGGGTGGAATGAGTAGGACTTGTTGCTATTCATTGAGTTTTGGGGAGCTTAATTGATTTAGACATTCTAGATTAGA